AACAGTTTGACTGAATGCACTCTAATGGTCCCTAAACTAACAGTCCCACTGGTCCCTAAAACGGTCAAACAATGCACTGCCGTACCGACTTGATCCAGTTTTTTCCTACTACTGAAGAAATAGAAAACGCGCGCGCGTGCTATGTGCTATCATAAAGCACGCGGGGGTTGGCAGAACACGAGAAAAGTTTTAGGAGGAGCACGACGCGTAGCGGAGTGCTTCTGGACACTTCTCGAGTGTTCTGCCAATCCCAAGTGCTTTATGACTGCACACAGCACTGCAAGCAAGTTTTTTGTTTCTTTTATAAAATACAAATTACAATAATAGATAGGAATGTCGCAACGGAAAGTGCGCGAGCGTGCAATGTGATCTCATAAAGCACGCGCTCCAAACCAATCAGAACGCGACATTCATAACAGTCATTTTATAATTGTAAACAAAACACACACACATCAGTCTCTAACACCTAATTAGAAAACAGACAGACAAACAGACAGACAGACAGACAGACAGACAGGCAGATAGACAGATAGACAGACAGACAGACAGACAGACAGACAGACAAGGACCAACAGACAGGAAAGATAGATAAACAGACAGACAGAATAAGCGTGATCCTACCAAGGGTTGCGTACACTATTCTAATAATTCGATCTTGACAGCAGGTGTTCCGAATCATCCCACACAAATCTATTCGTTAAAACTTAAACACACACTTCCATTCACATCAAGCCACCTCTAGCCTTCCACACTGGCAAATACGACTCATAACAACTGTCTTTTGTTAATCCTTTCATACATACATACAAACACAGCTCACGGCGACGCCCACGGCCATGTTAATAACCCACCGCGAATGCGCCGATGCGACGACTGAATAATGTTAGGACTGATATAAAAAATGGATTGATTTGATAAGAAAAATTCATTTTTCCTGGGCAGACAGCCTGACAAACCTTCTAAATAGATTTGAACCAAGTTACTTTTCTTAGGATCGTACCTATCTACGCGACTCTTAAAACTCTAGTGTATGCGGGCTTAGCTCGAATTCAGGAGTTGCTTGTTTCGTACTTGTTATTCTAATGTCTTCTTCGTTTTTCGATCTCAGAAGTAAGGCTACTGAGCCTGATGACTGGAGTTACGAAAAGTCGTCAATATCGATATCCCTCTTTTATATGTCTGTCTCATTCTTCTCATTCTTTCCTTCCATTTACGGGTTTTCAGTCTCCTTCCTTAATCCTCGCATCTTTGTTCATCAGTTTTTTATTCCTAATTTATATCTGCGCTAAATTTTCCACTTATTTAAACAAAGCTTCCACGTCTTTTGTTAAGCTTAAATGTGCAATTTCACTGTGAAGATAGAGCTGTTTTGTTTTAATGACACGGACGACAAACTCAGCTTGATCGGCTTGTCCTTTCAATGCTTTTATTCACATGCTTAGCTTCGGGCACATTTTAATTCTTTTGAACGGTTGACTAGCGACCAAAACAAGAGAAGAATGCCCTACTCTTTTCTTACTGTTTTAAAACAAATAATTTGGGGTTGATTTGTGTTTATTTTGATTGCTTTAAACAGTTGTGTACACTTTTGCCGGCGCTCTAGCGCTCTAGAAATTAACTTTATAAACCGGCCAAGGGAAAAAATTATCGGCCTTGTTTTAGGCTCCACAAAGACTATATTTATTGTCCAACAGTGTTCCTCTTTCCGTTTGTTTTTATTTATTTCTTTCTTTCTTTTTCTTTCTTTCTTTCTTTCTTTCTTTCTTTCTTTTTCCCCTAAGTGTTACACAGTGTTATGAAGAATCCACAAAATTAAAAACAAATAGAAGATTTCTAAACAAAATACGTGCACGAGATTTTTAATTTTCTACGTGGTATAATTTCATATTTTATTTAATTATCTATGATATAAATAATGTTATGCAAGAGAATATTCTCTTGTTTTTGGATAAAACACGAAATAAATTGGGTAAGAAATCGAAATATTGTTGCCGTTGAAGTAGGTTTTCATTGGAAGAAATTTATTTAGTTTTGAAACCAAACATATAGAATAAATATTCAAGAAGAAGAAAAAAATAAAATAAATGAGAATTAGGTAAATGAGAATGATCTAATGCAATAAGTTTATTAAAAAGAATTAAAAGTTACTTGGTCCTATATTGCCAGAAGGCTTGATCATTGTGATGGAAAATGAAAGAAAGGGGAAAAAATCGCAAGTCTATTATCATTAATAAAGGCACATGATTTGATTATAAGCCAGTATCAGCTCAGCCCCTTCACACTGTACTTGAACGAGAATTTCCACTAGACTTGAGGTTGAATGTAAGTCAACATTATGATAGACAGGTAGAGTGATTAATAAATTTCCCACTTGAGTCGAAGCCATTGCGAAGTCTTATTGGTCCATTCTTTCAAAACCTGACATCCTTTCGACTTTTCAAAATGAAAAAAAAAAGGAATCATTTCGAAACCTTTTGTTTTGAGCAGCTTTTATCGATCTGTTCAAGAAAGACTTCAGCTCTGATGTCAAATCCTTTACTAGTAAAAATGATTTAATCTATAAAATTGAAAAAAATTCTGTACTTTGCGCATTTAGTTAACCGATTCTTCAGATTCCTCGATTTAAGACATGTTGCTACGTAACAAGACAATCGTGTGACTCTGTTGTGATGCAAATGATCTAGATATAAATATATTAACATATCATAATCCATACAGGAATTTGTAAATTCATAACGGGGTGGACACGAAGTTGGTTTAGCATCTACAGAGGCATGAAGTCTCGGTTTCCAATAATTGACTTTTCTTAAACTTTCTGGACCACAGAGATGAAGTTTTGTTGTCGCAATAACACAACGTTTTGGTTTTGTTTCTTGGGATTATTGGCGTTAGGATCGTGTTATCCTTGGGTATCGAACAGGGAGTCAAAAGGTAGAGAGAGTTACAGTTCAAAATGTTGTTGGTGTATCAACGTCTGATTCGAACTGACAATCATGAGTGTTTATATCTTCTATCTGTAATTTCTTTTCTCTAGGCAAAGGAATTTTTAAAGACCAACCATACAATGATCCGGTTGGAGAATTTACAGGTAAGTTATTTTGTGTACAAGTTAATATTCAGTCTAGTTATTTGCTGTTGGCTGTAAAACGGGAAACGTTCGTTTTGTCCACGCTTCAATAAAAGCTAACTGTGGCGCTCGAAGGAGTTGCGTTTGTATACTTTTTAGCCTTGCCTCTCAGAGCTCTAGACTCAAGATGATATCGTTAAAGAAAACGGTAAATAGAAAGGGTTTATGAATCTTTAGTACTCCTGACTTCACCACTATGAGTCGAGCTTGAAGACCAAGGTAGTGCCTTCTTTATCAACACTGACCAAAGAAGAAAACTTTCTCTACAGGCACTTTATGAAAAGCTGGCGTTTAGGAATGATAGTAGGAGCTTTTATTGTAATGATTGCTGCATCCGAACGCTCAAAGAGATCTTGAATAGCCACAGGAAATGAGAATCCAAATATTTTGAGTACAGAAACCAATCTGACTCAAAATGAAGCAGCGACGAACCGCCATAAGGAAAACAGTCTTAGGAATTAATTATTTAGAAAATACTGGCATTATCTTCTTTGTGTAAAGTTTTAAGTTAAAACACCTATTGGGATTTTAAATTCTATACTTTTACGAAATACATGGATTGTATAGAAAGCAAGTTGCTTCGGGAAAATATATTAACAAAATTGTTTGGTCACGTCTAAACTCCCTTCAAGCGGAAAAAGGCAGCCTTCTTTATATTTTTATTAAATCCAAGTAGAAGTTTTATCTAGAATTCTAATAAATCGTTATATTTCGTCTAAAACTTATCTTGTACAAGTCTTGATATACCAAGATATAAACAAACTTTAAATTAATCAATTAAAAAAAGCAAGTGAGAGAAAGAAAAGTATACCGAGTGCTCGAGACATACTCAAAATTCTCAGCACTCCAACAAAATTTTCAAGGTTTTGGGATGTCACAAAATTTTTGGTATAAATCTTTATATTTTTCTTCATCTATATACATTTTTGCTGAGGATTTGCCCTTTTACTCCTGTGATTCCTGTGATCTGCTGAGATCAATTTATGCGCATAAATTATAAACTTAATGTTAGCGCGTTCTTTCCTGTAACAGCATGAAGCGCCGCAGCTCGCTATATATTTCACTCCTGCGAATTATTTTACTTTTCGCTATGTTAAGACTCTATTTTGAGTTAATTATTACTGGGGTTTTATCCTAAAGAAGGAAAAAAGCGAAATTTCACTATGTTCAAGGAAACGGCTGTTCGGAAACGAAGACGAAAGCCTCAAAGAAAAAACAATTTTCGACACTAAAAATTTTGTCTTCAGGTGCGAATATTCGCAAAGAAGCATTTTCTGTGAAATAAAACAAATTCACACTATAAGTGAGACAAAGAGAATGGTAAAATAAAGACAAAACAGAAAGGGAAAATGTCGTGAAAACCTGCTGACAGCCTTTATAGAAAGAAAGAAAAGACAGACCGGTAAAAGGTTTTTTTCAATGTGCCATAGTTAACTATGAATGCGCTAAAGGAAGCTTTCAGCGTGTTTAAAATGAAAGTTCAGGAAAAAAACCCTTTTGGAAATGACCAGGTGTGAGTTTGATTGTGGGTATAAAATTGTAGGCTGTTAATCAACACGGCTGGTTTAAAGTTCTTCGCCACAATCAAACCACAGAAATGCATTTGTCCTTGATCTACGCATAGCCAGTCATTTTTAATTAGAGTCTTAATGAGGATTTTGAACGACAAAGTTAGACATACTTTATGTCAGGAAATATCTAGTATGATCAAGATATCTTTTTATTATTTTTTTCCATTAATCAGCTTGAGTTTCCCGTTAAGTGCGTGCTATTATAGAATCTAGTTTCGAGTAATTTCGACATGTTAGCCTGCGCCACATAATGAACAAACGCTTTCTTTTTACCTTCTCTGTTTACCAAGGTTTGTTTGTCGAAAGAAATCCGTTCAGCTGATTAAATTTATCTTTTTTTTCTAGGCCATCTTTTGTAATAATTTGCTTAATCTATCCGTGACACTATTGATCAGTTGCCCAGAACCATTTTTCAGTGTAATATAGAAAATATTGTTCGTCTGATTGTGACTGTCAAGTTACTCTATTTTAATTGGTTTTTTAAAAAAGTATAACTCGGTAGCTTTTAAAATATTGAGTTTAATCTGCTATTTTCCGTCTATTAAAAAGAATGAGCTATAATAACGATAAATATTATCTGTTTCGATGGCAAGATATTTTGAAGTTTCTTTGAATTAGAGTAGTTTTTTCCACCTCTATTTCCTCGAAGGATTTGGACGCGCGCTTACGAACGCCATTACAGCGCGCTTACAATCATCAGAACTTGGGCTAGAATCATATTCGAGAAACAAACCGAGCGATGCCTGCTCTCATGTTTATTAAACATGTTATTGTCTCTGGAAGCACTGCTGAAAATGAAAAAGAATTTGGATTTTTGTCCTCTTAGCTGGAATCATAGAAATGAAACGAGCGATGGCCGCCCTTCTAGAAATGAAATGCAAATGGGACTTTCAATCGTCCAACTGAACCGTACATTTCATTAAAAAAGATGATTTATCGCAAGAACACTAAACGCCAGATGTCCTAGTTATTATTATCCCTGGGTCAGTATTATTTATCCCTCTAGTCAAAGATTGAGTCTGTATTAAGAACTCCCGCCAAAGGAAGTACGGGCTCTTCATCATTGGATTCCCGTCCTCCGTGTCGTACTCTCTCCTGTTCTTCGATGGTTTTTCTCCGCTTTTCCTCCCTCCATAAAAATCAACTAAATAAATTCCAATTTGTTTTGTCGAAAGCTTTAATATAAGCTCTTTTTATTTTTTATTTTATTTTTATTTATTTTTTAAAATTTTTTTTCGTGTGTGTGTTTTTTGTTTTCGTTTACGTTTACCAAGACTAACTTCCACAACGTCCAACTTTTTTACACGGTGTTTAGTTTCCATCTTATTGACTTAATGTATTCAACACACCAACGCATACAGTCCAAACTAGTGACCACTAGTCATTATCAAGAATAAAACACAATGGATGAAGTAGATTAATTATACGATTCCAAAATTTATGCGGAATGAAATGGCGGATCTACAGAGAGATAGGAACCAAAGGCGTGAGGGTTTCATATGATTACTTAGTTATAATTAATGTAGGCACAGTGATTCGGGGGTGGGTGACGTCACTGACTGGTTTGTGGGACGATGGGATGACAGCACTGCTATTTAAACGGAACGAACAAAATATATATTGAGAAATATGCTCTCTTAGAAATATTTAAAAGATTAAATTATACTCGGCGAATTAACTGCCTCGAAAAGTGGATTTGGAAATGGGAAATGAAATGGGAAAACTTTTAAAGAAACTGGGTTAGAATCAGTGATTACAATTTAAATTGAAAGATAAACCGATAATATCAAAAATAGAATATTAAAAGGATGGAATTTGAACAAATTGGAATAAAATGGAATATCTTTTTTAGAATTGAAAACTTCATTTTGTGTGTAATATTGAAAATAGAATTTCCGTATGGTATTATTTTATTTTATATTTTTATTTTATGATCTATTTTTCGTCATGCTTGGCCAAAAAGTAGGACTTGTGTGTAATCAAGAGGACCTATTTTCCGCAATATTTATGTTATTGAGATTTCGAGCCACAAATACGAGTTTATAATGAAAAAATCCTTCCAACGCCGTCAACTTAAATCCGCATTGCCAATTCAAACGCGATTCTCGTATCTCGAGGTTATTTTCAGCCAACAATACGGGTTCATATTGGCGACTCTTCGGATCAAATTTATAGACGACTCGCGGTACCTGTACTTTGTAATGGCAATCAAGCCTTCAAAACAATCTTGGTTGAATTTAATATCCAGGAAAGGTTGATGTAGTTATCATTAATGACTTTTGAGAACATAAATTTGCCTAAATCTTTGCATGGAAATCAAGCTATGCTCTGTAAGTGAAATGTGTTATTTTTTTGATTAAAAAAACCCGTCAATTTTATTTTATTTATTTATTTATTTATTTTTGTTCAAATTTTATCGATACCTTGAAACAGCCTCTGGGCACGACTAACTCACAGTTGGAATTGGAATTAAGCCTGTTAGGTTTTGCCAGTTATATAGAATTATAGTACTTCAATTCATTATAACATTAGAAAATATTATTCCGCTATATCTCACGCCTTCGCACGCAAATTATCGTTTTCTTCTTTTCCTGGGGCTTTCATTGTGGGTGACAAACGGTATTGCCGACTTCTAAGTGAAGGAAGAGAATGATTATTTCTCAGGAATCTAATGACCTTACAAATTGAATGTTTAAAAGCAACGATCAATCGTCAAATCAAAACATTGGTCGAACCATTCAAGGCTGCTTTTTAGTACAGAAATGGCTAATTAACGAAGCTCTTGTAGTTCCTGTTTTCTTGTGAATGACTCCGGCCATGAAAATACACCTGCCAGTAACCTGTACTCCACGCAGAAACTACAATTTTCATAAGAAAATATCCCAGTTATAAAATTCTTCCAAGACGTGCACAGGCTTACAGCAAAGATGAAATGTTTTCACGATTGAAAAGATGGAAAATAGAAGAATTTTTTTTTTGCGTTTTTTCTCTCTTTATATTCAACTATAATTTTTCTCGGTAGTTTGGTCTTGCGTGTCCTTGATTAGCCCTAATGTTGGCCGTCAAGATCTGTCAATTTTCTTTTCAACTTGAAACTTTAAATTCCATAAAAGTTTCCGGCCATTTTCAAGAAAGGATAGTCCATCATAATATTATATTTGTTCATTTACTTCGTTAGTCTATTATTGTGCAAGAGTAAATAGTTTGTAATCTCACATTTCAAGATTAAAATCATTGAGTCTAAAATGGCGGGAAAATGTCGTGTCATGTTGATTCTGTTGTGGCAGTCTGTGATTGGTTGCGCCTATCCAAGGCGGGAAAAAATACCTGTCTTGACGACACCTCTTTGGGGTCTTTGAAGTGTGATGTCAAAAGTTCTAGATAACTTATACCTTATTTGTTTTTAGCTAGCCAGCTCGCTTTTAAGGTTTTTCTTTGTGTTGACTAAAAGTGAGTGCCGTTGTGTGTGCTCGCTTGAAAAGCTTTAAACATACATAGATATGTACTTTCAGCGATGCTGCAATATAAACAAGGAATAAATTTGCATCAGTTTGATTTCCAACACTGCCTATGAAATGGATTGCTATATCCCGCCATTATCTTGCCACTTGGAAGCCATCTTCACTAAAAGAGATATCAAGAATGGTACCAGGAAAGTTTTACCGTTCTCGTTTGAAGTTTACAAATATCTACTCCGGTCATAGGTTTTCAAAGACACATTGGGAACCCGCGAACGCTCGACTGACCGTTTCCTTATTTACGTAAATAAGAGTTTAAAAGCCTTAAAACAGTTTTATCGATTATACCATAATATTTACCTAAAGAAATGGTCATTTACGTTGATTTTACAAAGTTAAAAAGAAAATTTAACCAAAGGGAATTTCTTGTCGTCAGTTTGGAAAGCCTCAGTCAATATGCCTGGAAAAAATGACGACTTGGTTCAGATATGGCTAATTATGGCAATAACAGGTCACGTGATCAGGTTTAAATATACTTTTCCCATCCAACGTGGCGAAAGATGATGACGTAGGTTGTTACCTATAAATGATCATCACTATAATGTTCAACTTAGTTCCGTACCATTAAATTTGAGAAAAATGTAAGGTTTCTGAACTAAATCAAATCCATAATTTTTACTTCATTCACAGGAGACGAAAGAAGACCGTTTGCATACGGAACCAAAGAAGACTCGGAAAATGATAACGTAGCCTATGACGAATCCCAAGATGACGTCCGGGCCCAAGACTACAGGGCATGGGTACTAGGAGAAATTGAGAACTATCGCAAACGACTGCAATCAGAAGAAAATGATGATGGTAATTGATTTCTTCATGATTTTTTTTTATGCACAGAATCCCATGGCGCGCGCTAGATCAAGCCCAGACGATAAGTAAATAGTGTGTGGCTGTTTTTGTGTCAGTCGAGTGCTGTTTTCTCATTTTGCTTGTTTGTTTATTTGTTGTTGGTTTTTTTTTTTCTGTCTTTTTTTAGTTTTTAATTTTGTAGAAGTTAGAGGCATTTGGGATCCTATTCTTTGTTCTAGGGGCTCTAGCTCTAGCTCGGTTGTAGGTTTCATCACCGCGACCACAAAACTAACAACCGTGAACCACTGGAGCGAGAGAGCCTCTGAAACCCAGGGTATTTGGACCACTGTTTAATGTTTATATTGTATATTTATAAGATTAGATTTCGATTGAAAGGGAAAGTCACGTGACATTACGGTACGTGTGTTGAGCCAATCAATACTGCTTAGACACGGGATTTTTTAGTCCAGGCACGGCTAGTACCTATTCTTACAGTTAACTTGTGCTATAGATTTTCAAGCGAATATTGAGTACCAAAAGCACTTTCTGTTTATCGCAATATATCGTTTACAGCGCTTCTGAACATTACCTTTTCTCGTGTCGATATGATTTTTGCTTTAACGCATTCCATGGTCTTTAGAATCAGACAGTAAACCCGTTCGCGGTGAAACAGAGGAAGACAGACTGGCGCTTCTGAGAGAAGAAGCAACGAATAGAAGGCAACAAGAGGCGTTAAAAAGAAGAGGAAGTGCCAGAAAGGAGCAGAAATTAACAGAGAGTGATGTTCCAAAAACAGGGCGTAAGTATAGAGATGTCCAGAAAAATGTCTAACTGGCACTTTAAATTCAGTTCTTCCCCTTTTACGCATTAATTAATATGTAACTTGTGCTACATTCATTCTTTTATTAATTAAATAATATTTCCCTGATCAGGCTAATCTTTCTCGGAACGAAAATCAATGCATAAGGCACAAAAAACACCAAAAACACAAAGAAACCAAAACAAAATCTTATTGAACTTGAATTTCAGATCTTTTTGAAGGCGATATAGTTATGTCAGACCACTTCCGGTCGCATCTGACCGCAGAGAACTCCAAGAGAGATGCCCTGGTCGACAAGGAATACTTATGGGAAAAGAAAGATGGAATAGTTCGAGTACCTTACTCCGTGGATAAAAACTTTAGTAAGGAATTTGATACTAATGCTTGATTTCGTGTTTTCTTTGTCTGAGTCCGCAAGTGCACGTTATCTAACTGTAGTGTTTTATATTTGTTTCTTAGATGAACTCAAAAGGGAACGATTAAGACAAGCTGTGGACGATTTCAATAAGTACACATGTATCACGTTTGAACCTAAACAAGAAAGCGATGATGATCATGTGCACTTTTTCTCCAACAAATCCATGTAAGGACAAATACTTTCCAGCTGAGCGGTGAATTTTGTTTTAGCCAATCACAGCGTGTTAGCTGTTTTGCCGCCGGCCCTCATTTCCTAGTCTCCCCCACAGCCGCTTTCAGTGTCGTCACGCAACGCTTTCTCCCCTGAGTAGCTACTCAGGGGAGAAAGCGTTGCGTGACGACACTGAAAGCGGCTGTGGGGGAGACTATCATTTCCAGGCTACTGTAAAGCAACTCTTGCTTATTTTTCTGTCTTCTTTTGACTAAAATATAAAATACGTGCCTACAAGAAGCAGAAATATGCAAAAGAAGAATAGAAACAATTTCACTTTACTGCCACGTTTGCGTCGTTCTTTCAAGCTCCAAAAATGCTTTGGCTGGTCATTTTGTCCACTCATGCTTTGCATCCAAGCGTTCACTGCTCAGCTGGTTACTATTATGCGGAGTATAAAATTTGAGGACAGATTCAGAATCCAAGCGTTATTTGCTAGCCTCCTCTAGGTTACTCTCTTAGGTGTTTCCTCGGTCACATGATGGATGCTAGCCTCCTTAGGGGCCGTCCTGCGCTTTTTCCCTAGTTTACCCGTTGAAAATTTCACAATTCTTTCTGTGCACTTTAATTATGCTTTGTCATACCATTACGAGCGGTATTGCGCGGAATGACTCGAATTTTCATTCTCATATTCTTCTTGCGTTTATTGATCGTAGGTGTTACTCCAGTGTGGGCAAACAGGGTGGTAAACAGAAGATATCAATAGGTGATGGCTGTGAGAGGAAGGGGACTGTCATCCATGAGATGCTACACAGTATTGGCTTCATTCACGAACAGTCTCGTCCTGACAGAGACAAATATGTTAAAGTTGTTTGGGAAAACATCAAGAAAAGTAAGAAAAAAAATGGTCTCTGAAAATTGTTATGACATGACGTCCCCAAAAGTTGTTCTGAAATGAAAATGACGTCAATAAACGTCGTCCTGACATGAAAGTGACGCCACCAAAATTGTTCTGAAATCAGTGAAAGTGACGTCACTGAAAATTGTCCTGATATGAAAGTGTCGTCACCAAAATTGTTCTGAAATCAGTGAAAGTGACGTCACTAAAAGTTGTACTGATATAAAAGTGACGTCACTAAAAGTTGTCCTTGCATGAAAGTGACGTCACCAAAATTGTTCTGAAATCAGTGAAAGTGACGTTACTAAAAATTGTTCTGACATGAAAGTGTCAAAATGTAATGTTCCTGATTGTCTGATCAATGCATTTCCTTTTTTTCGATCGCAGGACTGAAACACAATTTTCAGAAATATCCAAGATACCTTGTAGATGATCTTGGCATAGGATATGATTTTGACGTAAGTTTATCATTATCGTTATTACCAACATTTTGTCCGTTTATTACAAATAAAATTGCTCTTGAAAAGGAGTGCGTATGTTCGGGGGAAGGAAGGAGAGGGGAGGGGAGTTGGCAGAGGAGAGGGGGATGGGAGGGGGCCGAGGGGAGAGGGGGAGGAGAAGGAAGGGGAAGGGGATGTTGAACCTTGTCCTGGCTGTCGTACCCTATTTTAATTCGCATTTCTTCTATTCTATTCTAACCGAAAGATTTAAAAGCATTTTTATTAATAGACTTTCTCTCAGATGAAATTTAGCAATATAGTTTTAACACTTAGTCTTAGTTTTGATCATTCAATTTCTTAAATTTGTAGCACAATTTATAATTCTGATGATAGTAATATAGAGTTTTTCGATTGCTTTTCATACGTTTCTTCTTAGATTTATTCGTATTTGTTACTTTCGGTATGTTTTTTATTCCAATGAATGAATACTATTTTAATAAATTTTTTATTTTTTATGATTTTATTTATTTTTTATTTTTTTATCCGTTGCAAAGATTTATCTTTCATTTTCATCTTCTTACCTTTGTCTTCATTAGTCTGCTCTTCTTAAATTTATTTGTATTTGTAACTTTCGATATGTTTTTTATTCCAATCAATAAATGCTATTTTATTTTTTATTCTTTATTTTTCATTTTCATTTTCTTACCTTTGTGTTCATTAGTCTGTTCTTCACTACCACAACTCAGCGTTTACTAAAAATGGAGAAGACACTTTGATCGACAAAGCAGACCCGTCAAGAAAGTTTGGCCAGCGAATCGGATTCAGTAAACGAAACATCGAACAAGTGAACAAGCTATATGGATGTGACGTTGATCCACACGTAATGGACGATGTCCAGTTTGAATAATAAAATTTTCAATATTCTTTTAGTGCATTAAAAAAATCCCTCCGACAACTCAATAGAAATTTTAACCTCGGGTGTAATGTTTTCCTATTTCATTTTACGTGTCATTTCCTTGAGAATAAGATTCTTTGTTTGAGTTGTATCCATATTCATGCGTCTGCTCACTCTAAACAAAGAAATGATACTCTAGAGAATGACACGTGGTCTGGTATGGGAAAATATTACATCCAAAGTAAAGAGGTCTATTCACGTCAAAGTTTCTCTCATTTCTTATCCATTTCAGCTAATAATGTTATTTTCGATATCATCCCTTATTTTTTCACACCGAACCTAACGCAACACAGACTGAACGAATTGACCAATAAGCACACAAAACAACATCAGCTCGAAGTCAGCGCATACATACCCTTTTATTTGACGTCTCTAAAGATTATATATAATATTTTCATCAAACGAAATTAATGAATTCCTCAAAAAGGCTTATCACTTGTGAATGAAGCCTCATGTTTCCAATGTGGGATGTTTTAATCTGAATAAATATAAGTAAATTCACCACTTTTCATAAATCGGTTCTACAGTCAAATACAAAGCGGTCAACCGAGGCTACGAGGTAAATTTGAATGATCTTTTGAAACTACCTTGAAGCCTCGATTGAATATTTTGTGTGTGACCAGTGAATCGATGTATGGGAAGTTATAAATCATAGCTAGATGCGTAAATAGTTAAAGCCTCATAGAATACCTACTAAAGTGCAAACAATATGGAATAATTTTTCAGAGTTAACCCGTTTAACAAAAAATAGCTGCTAAAGTGTAATACTCAAATAATTACAAATTCGTGTCTACACTAACCTGGAAATGATGGTATAATGCGCACCGCAAACTTAGCGACATATTATTCATCTCTTAATAGTAGGTCAGAATAGGGCAGAGTACATTGGATATTATGAGAGGGGAAGAGGAAGGGCTACCTACCACACCCGCCATTTCATTACCTCGGCGTACTATACTTCAAGAAAATATAATACAGTTATTTCAAAAATGCTGCGGGATGCATGTCGTTTAACAAGCTTGAAATGTATTAGATTCAGCACAGAAGAAAATATGCGAAAAAACGTGCGGACAAAGTTTGGTAACATTCTATCGTTGTGACCTTTCGCTGATTGCATCTTATTGCCCATAGTGCATTTTGGGCTTGGTATGTAACATGCAACAAAACCTTCCCTCACCAACCGTTTTTTAAATAGCTGTACATTATTTCTTTGGGAGTTAAAATGAATCAATGAAGTAATTAATCGGTCTATTTAGCTATTGTCCTAAAAATAACTTATTTGGATTCTAAATAATTAAAGTATGGGTTTTAAATAATTTTGTTACAATTTTTCAATCACAGAAATGTAAACGAATGGTAAAAACAAATAGATATAGTCGTCCTCAGTGGGCTTCTAAATTTTGGGTTGGCCGGTTGTGAACGGAAAGGAACTGAAGACGTGGTATTTTGTGCGCATGATCAGATAAGGCGTGCCTATAAAATAAAATTGGTAATTAACCAGAATCGCCTACGCGGTACGGCTATATCACGTGACAAAGGGCGAGGAACGGTGCGGATTGAAAGGCCATGAAATCGTAGCCGTAAAAACATGCAAATTGATATTCACGAATATGAACAAAATAGACTCGCTCAATCCCTAAAATAATCAGAGAACAGAACAGCTGTACGTGGGTTTCTTGAAATTGTATATTTGAAGTTTCTTATATAATCAATAACACTCAAGACATGACAATTCTCCAATATTGACGCACTTTTGCTAACATACTGAAACATGAATAATATTGCTTCTACTGCGAAACCTTAATTTCAACTCCAATACATTTGCTCAGTTTCTCGCCTCTCTGTTTCATCTCAGTCGATTCTGTAAAACTGTTTGTTTGCCTTCTCAGCTCAAGTTTTAAGAGTCATTTTTTCCCAAGTGAGCGTTAAATGTCGATTCGAAATCTTTACCCAAGTTGAACTTGTCCGGACGTCGCGCTAATATTTCGTTTATAATCTAGGTTCCAAAGGGCATATATTTAGCAGCATATATCAGTATAATAATAACAATGAAGATGTTGAAAAACACGGATAGTAGAAACGATCTTATCGACGTCTTTTATTTGAATGCGGGGTTTAGAATTACGACTGATTGATAAAGTTTCGATAGCGGTATACTAACTGCACACGTACTATCTGGCCTGCTTCGCGCCTTTGCCTTCCGCCTTAAGCAATACATTTTTTTGTTCATTGTTCGTGCAATTTTGGTTCAAAAAAAGGCTTTTTACCGTAGTCTAGCCAAATGCTATTTATTTAAAAAAAGCTGACGTTTTTCAGGATTAGAGATATTAACTTAAAATAATAATTACGATTTTGATGTTTTATTGACAGCTTCTAGATCAGCTAAATTTCACATTACTGCAACAAAACTAATATAATATATCTAGATTTAAAACTTTCATTGTCAGTTGCATGACAGCTCCGGCGAAGTAGAAAGTTGTCGTTGGATGTAATGTTTCTTGCGAAATCTCGATGATCCGAGTTGTCGTTAATTCTCGATTGCTCTCCTTAGGACAGAGACAGGAAGAAGTTCCAGTCAACAAAATGAGAAACTGCACAATGAATTTAAAGTTTAAAAAAGCAGTAGGAAACTCCACTCTTCCATGACTGAGAGCCCAGTCCCACTTTTCCCTAGAGATTCTCTCTGGCAGTAAAGAAGACTGTTTGGGATTTCTTGTGGCCGCGCGGTTTCCTCTCCGTACTTCCCGAAAATCCTACAGGAATCCTAAAAACTCGTCTTACTTAACTGAGTCTAGAGGAAAAATTTGACTCCTCCCAATATAGTAATTGCCATGTAGTAATTGTCATTTAGTAATATTGCAATGAATGAAAGTTGAAATCGATTTTGCGACCGCATTATCCCATCAAAGCGGGACCAAAAAAAACCCTCACTATCAGTTATCGATCTTGTTTGAATTGGTAACCATTACAAGAGATCTGATTTAAAAAATGGAGTAAAAACGACTCCGCGCTGGGCTCTCTTTTTTCCCTAGAGTGGATTTTGATGATTCAATATCTATCGGATGAGTTGTGCGTATTCGCCCAAGAAAATTGCACAAATCCCCTTGAATGACATTTCTGTTATAATATTAGCAAATTCTTTCTTCAGAAGTGGTTGAGATGACATACACTTAATCCTCTTTATTCAGATCTTCTATATATTGTATAAAGATATTAAACTTTTATGATAATGTATAATAGTCTGTGTTCTATTAGATTATACAGAATTATTCTTTCTAAGTATGAAATGAATATTTTTTGTTTCGTCTAGAGCAAAAACGGAAAAACTATTCGGGTGTTTGTGGCGCAGGTTAAGTATTATCCTCTTTCATTCCACTGGCGATATATATGGTGTTGCGCCTCGTAGGGGACAACTGTTCTTTTGTGTAAGCACCTGCCTTATGGCAAATTATTTAAATAAAAATATGTACTAACTTGTAGCAGAACATATTATAATCTGATCACAAATCTATCTACTTAGCATGTAGTTGACAGAAAAACGGCTCAATTTCCCAAAAGCTATATAACAGGAGATTTTTAATCTTTGTTGATTGATCACGTCTTGTTTAAATTATCCAGTAAAATTCGTCTGCATGCTCCGTAACCATAAGAAGACTACAGTTTAAACCGATTCAATTAGCATATATATGAGAACACTGGATAGGTATTTATTCTGTAAGACAAATAATATAAGACGGGAAACCTTGGAAATTGGACCTGTACATAAAGGAGTGCCGTTGACATAAACTACGTTGCATCTCTTTCTCAGTAGCGGGACCAAACATTGACCAAAGACTGCGACACTGCATCTCATTTTCTGCATATAGGTAAGAAAAGTTTATTGTTTTTGTGTTCAGCTCGGAGTAACTTGATAGACAACTTCTATTCACGAAATCGTCCTTAAATCTGGCATGGCAAGAAAAACAACCATTGTACATTGATTACTTTGAAATGTATAAGCCAATGTCTACTACAACTTCAAGTTTACTATACATCAGTAAATATACCAACTATAGAGCTAGAATTTCTTTTGACGTAAGATATCCATATTAAGCCCAAATTTGTGGATTTTTTCAGTTTAGGATCACTGGCTATGATATTCATAGAAAGCCCAAATTGGTTACATTTTTCTTAAGTTCACTGGTCGAATTTAATTACTGGCAGTAAATTTTGGCCAACTGAGCAAGGCCCTAACTATATCCTTATTCATTCGCGATTTTTATCGATAAAAGATTACACTCGGGAAAAAACACCAGTTGATTTTGATTAACGCGGAAACTAACTAAAGCTGAATTAAAGGAAAAAATGGAGCCCAGTTTGATCTGTAGGAAATTCTATTCATTGTGAACTTTTGTTAACCAAAACGGTACAAACAGGAAGGAGCAAATGAATGAATGTTTCTTTCGTTCATTTCCCACGCTGTGGACAATTTTGGACACTTTTTTTCTTGGGTTGTTTGGAAAACAATAAAAAATATACTTCGCTTTGCTATCACTGAGTTTGTTTAGCGGGAGGCACTGAAGAGCCTTTTAAAGCAAATCAGAAATTATTAGTAAAAATCTTATAGTGAATATTTTACTTTTTCAGCTTTTGATAATTGTTGAATAGTGAATTGTGTAATGAAAATTTGGAAAGGCGAGAAGAAAGAAACAAACGAACAAACAAACAAACAAACAAACAAAGGAAGAAAAGAGGATGAATAAACTAGGAAGAAAGAACGTAAAGGAAAGAAGAAAACAAAGACAGAGAGAAACAAACGAACGAACAAACGAACGAACGAATGAATGAATGAATGAATGAACGAATGGATGGATGGATGGATGGATGGATGGATGGATGGATGGATGGATGGATGGATGGATGGCTCAGTGACTCAGTAACAAGGTTAACAAGGTTTCAAGGTTTTTTAAGGTGATAATTATACCGCATTGAATTGTCATTATCTTGCTAGCTGCCTGAATGCCCCTAACGAGTCACCAAGCTCACGAAAAGGAAGACAAAACATTTACACACAAGCAAAATTAAAACGACAGCCTTAAGTTGCATGTAACCTTTTTTTAAAAACTCGTAGCAGAATTTGACACAAAACATAATATCAACCTTTAAAGAACTTTGCATTCAAAGATATTATTAGTACTTCGTTAGTTGGCGGAGCTGTTTTGTTTATTTAGCCGTTTGTAGAAAAAATTAAAGGCTTTCTTTCATTGTAGGGCTGTGCCGCTTTAAGAGAAATACCGTATAAGTGAAATTGGTAATCACTGACGTTCGGATACCATGATAAAGACAGTTTACAAGCAAAACGAGAATTGGAAAATGAATATAGCATGATGACAATTTTCCAATATTGAAAGAAAAAAAGATGAATAGTCTTGACACGCAGTGAAGACTTACAGTCACCTTGGCACGTGAGCTGAGTTGGTTGGTTGGTTCTCTCTCTTACTCCGAGGGTTTTTTCCAGCTCTCCGGTTTTTCCTACCTCCTCTCAAACCAACCCTAACTAATTCAAACTGTTTAAGGCTGTGCTCTCTGGTCATACAAAATTGAAATATTTACCTAGAAGAGAAACCAAGTGTCTGATACAACTAGGAGTATTGCACCTGTATTTTCTAGGATAATCTTGACCTATAAGTGCCCAAATACACAGAGAATAAGCCTACAGAATTATTTATCGGGATATCTTCAGACTGATTCATCATGTAATTATAAATTTGTACTTTCACACGTATGGCGCCATATTAACACTTTCTAACCTTTGTACATAATAAGATACAATAATAAGGCTTCTCACAGCCATGTCATTCCAAGCGGTTTTTCACTTGAGTTTCTGAATTCACTCAGTGTCGTAATTTAACTCGCCCCCACAGATTAGACAATGTTAAAAGATTCAAAGAAATTTTCTAGCACTATAGACTGAGTACACTAATATCTCAGCAGATCTTTAAGCTGGTAGAAAAATCAGAGTAAAGATTTAATCAAAACCTGTAGGAAATGAACTTCAATCAGCTAAAATACATTAATCTCTTTGATGTCGGCGCTGTTGTTTCAGTCAAGATTGTTTTGTGTCATCAGTTTTTGGATCATCTATTTTACTTATTCCGTGTTTACTTCTGAGTCCCAGACGGATTGTTTTTATGGAGATTTCCAAGAAATAAAAAAGAAAAACGAGGGTCAAAAAATGCAATTAGTATATGATTCTATAGCATGGTCCTTTAACGTATCTAGCTATTACTCAATAATCTCTATCGGAAAATCAAATAAGATGTGTAACACTATAGAACAAAGCTTTTGTAGAGATCTGGTTGTAGTTTTCTATAGTTAAGTTTTGTTTGATAATAGCTAGGAAGAGAGTGTTCTACACGTAATTGAAGTTTGTTGATTCTAGAGAGTTCTGTTGATCTTTTCATAGGTTGGTCTGACGTGCTATTGGTTGATCTTGGAAGTCAGTAATAGCCAAAGACTTGAAGCATCAGAGATTTGAAAGTATATTAAGTGGCCGCTGCGGAAAGTTTCTTGTTGGATTGATAACGGCGCAAGAACAAGAACAAGAACAAGAACAAGAACAAGAACAAGAACAAGAACAAGAAAGAACAA